GGGGGGGGGGGGGTGAGAGGCTGATAGGCTACTGTGCTGCCTGAACATGTTCAGCAGACTGAAATATACAGTGCATAATCGGACAGTGATGCGTGTGTGTGTGTGTGTGTGTGTGTGGGGGGGAGACACTTTCTATTTACGTTGCTGAAACGGGTGCATCTTCACCTACAAAGTAAATATTCCTGTCATGACTTGTGTGTTATTGTACTTCTGGAGGCAGAGCCTGCGGCTGTCTCTTCCTCGGCCTCCGTTCGATAAGATGAGATATATAAATAACAAAAGAAATCTTCCATGAACAGACTGTGATGTAACAGCAGAGGAAAGGCACACAGCGGGACTTGGCTCTCCGGTCTGTAATCCTACTGTTCATACATGTTGGATGAGGCCCCCTCCCCCACCCGGCAACATTCATCCTCTCCCAATCCCCCCTCCTCTCCTGCCTCCCTCATCCTCTCTTACCATCAGATTCCTGGCAGCAGAGGGAGTCGACTTTCCCCTCGTGCATGTTGCCGCTTACAACGGTGGTGACAGAAATGTCACAGACTGAGCTACAAAAAAAAGTAGAGAAAGATCCGTCCAAGCACAATTGTCTTTGTCTGTTTCCCCGTCAGTCTCCCTGTGCACGCTGCTCTCTGTTGCATGGACGAATAGTTATGCAATGTATCATTTATAATTAATAGACATTTATATTCTCAGAGACTTTCAGTGCTCTGTTTGAAGGAGCTTCTCTTAAAGCCAAGATCACATAGAGACGTGGCTAAAAGTAAGCAATTATGAGAAGACATCATCTCTGCAATAGTTCGTTTAAGAACGCTCCCTCTATTGTTTTGTCAACACAATGAGCTGACTGTGCACTCCATAACCAATATGATCACCCAACATTACCCTAATGTGATGAAGGGTAATCCACGAGCAGTTACAGGTCTCAACAAGCACGTAAGCGTCATTTTATTGTTGTACTGTAGATGGTTGAGTGAATAATATTTTGAAATAAAATATGTTTCCCAACATTTGGGCTGAGAAAAAGGTCTTACAGTAACAGAATATCGATTCCTATTTGATCAGCGCTGCCTATGATCAGACTTCACCAGCAGTGACTGACTGACAGCTGCGTTAGAGTCCTCGGCTCTGATTGGTTGGTTTTCATCCGGCGTGGTGGAAACTTGCAGAGATCATTAGGAGCACTAAGAGGAGGAACCTGATTTATTCACAGATGATGTGTTTCATTTTCTGCTGTTAGGACATTGTGACTCTTAAAGCAATCTGTTTTTATTATTATAGTCCCAACTGTAGCTTCAAATGAAGTTCTTTAGTAAATGTACTCAGTTACTTTCTACCACTGGTCTTGAAAACATGTCTAGATTTTGAAGTTGTTCTGAGAGTCTACTGACATTTAGAAGTGGTCTTAAGACGTCTAAATTCTGACCTGGTTCTGAACATGTCAGTCAGAAGGCATCCTGGATGGAAGTCCAGATCCTAACAAAAGTGGGTCCAGACCAACTGACACATTCTGAAAGTCCATTTGACATCGAGTTTGTATTTGATCCTTTAAAAAAAGTCACAACTCTTCTTTCTACTTTTAGTTTTCAGTTTCAGTGTCAGCAGGACAAAACCTACAATGTCTCCTCACAAGAGCAGCTCCAGAGTCAGACCCAGCTTCAGGTCCGGTCCAGTGCTCTCCTCAGGAGTCCTGGTCCCGGTCACGTCCATCCAGGTCTGAGGGTCCGGTCGAAGTCTCTGCGATCACATAAAACAAGAAAACATTTCAACACGTTGACAGTTTTTCACACATGTGGACAGACTTTCCTTTCAGAAGATAATCTCCATCTTTACACTTTGAATTTTCTTCTATTTTCACAGATTAGAAGTAAAAATGTAGAATCTGAGTTCAGATCCACTTTGCTCTGAAGTCTCCTACACTCATAGCTCATAACAGGATTCATATCATTCCCAAATCTGCATGAAACTATAATGTTCCTACGTTCACATATTCAGATTGTTCCCTGAATGTGTCACAATCAGAACTGACCTCTGAACTTTGTTATGAATTCATCTTCACCACATGGAGGTGTTTCCATTTGCTGACAATCTTTATCATTTAGAGTCAGAGGGACGTTTCTAGCCAACAGAGACGGAGGACTGAACCATTAGTGACCGGGACATAATTGAGGTCTTTTTTTGTTTGTGTGAGTTACTAAATGTGATTCTTCTCTCATCTTCCTGCAGAGACAGTGAAAGCAGAGGAACAAGGAGAGAGGGTGATGTATGGCTTCTCATCCCGGTCTCTGATTCCCTTCCAGACCCATTTACTTTCTAATGGAGTCTCAGTGTGATGAAGAAGAAGTCAGAGAGGACGAGGACGGCGGATGGACACAGTTTATATTTCACACAACGGTTCCTATTTTTGGACGTTGGATTCCTCTGACAGGAATATTCCTCCTAAATCTTTCCACTCCTCCTCCTCCTCCTCCTCCTCCTCTTCTTTCACCGTCTTGTCATGTTCCGCTCTCTGATACATTCATGTCTTCCGTTTCCCTGGAAACAGAAAGCAGGGGACCAGATGGATTTCCAGGGTGAGACGGCAGCAGAGGGGTTTGTGCAACTTCCATCCGAAGTGAAGAGCACCAGGTGAACTACCACTGCACCTTTATATTTGTATCTGCCAGCTCAGTTCAAGCACAAAGCTAATCACACCTGCTCACAGAGCAGCATGGTGCTGGATGCTTTCTGCATATCAGAGGAGCACAACTGGAATTACACTGAAGGGATTTAAGAGGAGACGGGTGATGCAAATCACTGTTGTTTCAATTTAGAGATTTTGGTCCATTTTTCTTCTATAACACGTCTTCTTTCAGACTCGTGGACATAAAACATTTATTTTATTACTTTGTCTGTTTGCGTCTGTAGATTTCTCCTAAATTCAACAAAAGTTACCATTACATAATGCCTCATTTACATATTCAAACATAACATTTCACAAAACTGTAATACAAAAAAATACTTAATGTCAGTAATCAACTGGGGAAGTTTGATGGCACATATATTAGTTTGTTTTTTTATACTGTTGAACTCGGGTGTCTCCCCTTAAACAGCCGTCCGGCTCCATCCTCACCACACATTTCAGAGCTGTCCCCTGGGGGCCATGAGGGAGGAAAACAGGGGCCCGGAGCCGGCTTTAAGCTCAGCTTTAACCTCGGTCACTCTGCACCGAGCAGCTGCTCCTCTCTGGTTTCACTGTGAGGCTTGTAAAGAGTCTGGATGTTTAGTTTACTGAGAGCATTTTACAATCGCTTGGCTCCATGAAAAGCTGTCAGAACAGTTCAAACTGTTAACAATCTGACAACAATGCAGAGTTTCCCTGAGGAGCTGAAATAGTTGATTTTCAGCAAATAGAGAGAAATTTAAGAAAAAATCCTTGCCTAACTTAAGTTAGATGATTTCTCTGTTTCAGTGTGTTTTTATGCTGAAATGGGTCCAAGCATCCACGTCCTGCAGCAGCGGTTCAACCTCGTTGACTTGTGACTCTCTTCACATGAAGCAGGAGAGGTTTACTCATGACTCCTCATCACGTGTTCTTACTGATGAAGACGAGTGAGAGTAGTTTAACAAAAGGTGAATTGGGCAACGAACACGGCGTCGTCTTCTTCTGAGCCGATAACTCTCCCAAAAACAGCAGCATGGATGTTACACTTTACTGCAGAAATGTGAGCCACTGACTCGAGCAACAAGATGAAGCCGGGTTCACGCTGGTTTGATTCAGTGATAAAACATCTGCAGAGGAGAAGAAGCTGAGATTGGTTTAGAATCCGTCCTCCTGTGTGAGCGAAGGCTGTGAGTGCATGTCCTCGAGGAAAAACACAAAGTGATGAAGTCGCAGAAACAACCGGGGACCCAGAGCTGCTGTGGGCTGCACACTCTGATCACGTCTCAGCCTGTCACTGGGAATCCAACCACAGCTTCACTTTGTTGCTTCTGGAAACAGCAGATTGCTCATTTGTTGAATTGTATTGATAGAACTCATTGTGCTTGTGTAGACACTGAACCCTGCTGGCTGACACACAGGCTGTTTCAATAAAACATGAACCAAAGGAAGGAAGTGCTGGGGAATTTGCATGTTTTTGCCAATTTACTACAAATGTGCTCAACATTACTGTGAACCATGTTCACATATATTGTGAAATGTTTCCTCACCTTACAGGCAGCCACTGACTTCCATTCATTTCTACACATTTAAAAATCAAGCAGCAAAGTGTGAAATGAAAACTTCCTGGAGGGGAAGCTTCATCTGTGACGTCATCCTGCACTGATTGGTTTAAAACATAAAATCTAACCAATGATTCCATGACAAACTTTTAGGTGGACCCGCCCCTCTGCCACTCCTATCAAATCAAAGTGCTTCTCTCTCTCTCTCTCTCTCTCTCTCTCTCTCTCTCTCTCTCTCTCT